AAATACTTTAAATTCTTTAACTAAGCTTGCTAAGGTCAACCCCTAAACAAATTCACAAACATCACTTCAGTTTAAAACAGCAAAGAGTATGAGCGAGTCGCTGTCAGTATTTGAATGAATTCGCCCTCGATGCTGTTGTACATTTTTTGAATAGACCGGACCCGGGCGAATCAAAGAGACTTGGCAAAGCGGCAGCGGCAAGTGAATTTATGTTATTTCCTTGTTGTTGGCGTATCAGATAAGCTAATAAAAAATATTATAATTACATAACGGTGGCCCACGACGCTGCCGCTGCAGACATTGTGCGCAAATAGTTGGCTGTGTTGCGTTACACGTGCTTTTAATGTTGTCCCTTCGCCGTCGCTGGCTATCTGGCCCAGAGTCACACGGAGCACCTGGGGGTATGCTCTCTATGTGTGTGTATGTGTGTGTGTATGTTTGTGTTTGCAGTCGAAACGAATGAAGCCATCAGGATAATTTAGACTTTGAAGTGCCATTGCCATGCGAACTTATTTTAATTAGATGCGCAAACGTAAATGCTTAGTACGCTCGCCGCAGACCTTTTTTATGGCGAAGGCCTCGAAAAGACAATGCGACGCGGCATTAAAACAGGTGGGCGGCCGTTGGGCGGGGCCGGCCAACGGGCGCCAAAGTGGGGCTGTGTGGCCGGGTATGTCGTGTAGCACACATTAACCGATGCCATGCAATGCAGCCATAATAACCGTCGAGCACAAGTTTAATTAGTGCAGCCAACGAGGCCAGCGCCGGCAGTGGAGAGGCCTGTGGCCAACGTTGCGTATGAGCAATGTGTGTTCGTGTGATAAAATGGCCACGCCATGCCGCACACCACACCACGCCACGTCAAGGTTGTGCCTGTGTCTATGTCTCGGTGTGTGTGTGTGTGTGTGTGTGCACCTTTATTGCTGTCATCCATCTGAGAAGTAAAACTCTTATGGTCATAAAAACTCTAGAACGCATTGTGCGCGCAAAAACAAAGCCAAAACCCCCAATAGGATTCTCTAGAGCTGAAAAAAAAAAAAAATGTCAGAGTGCTGAACTAATAATGGCACATGTCAAAATTCGTTGAGCCCGCAGTCGTTTGGGTGGTAGTGGGGGTTGCGCGGTGCGAGGCGTTCGCCAACTTTTGGTCGAATGACGAAACCCAGGTGACATTCATAGTGACTTCGTTTTGGCAGTTGTGTGTCATTTGTTAGATTTAACTGATGCCTGGACACACGGATGGCATCGGGGCCATGGCCAGCCAGCGTTCGGTCAGTTGATGTGGCTCGCAGCATAGATGGATGAGTACCAGAAAGAAGAGCAAAAAACGAAAGCAAAGCTCCAAGGGGTTCGATAGAGACTCACTGCAGTAAAGCACTTGATTATCGCAAAAGGACTTTTTACTATTTGTCCATGCTATAAACCTCTGATGCGCGCTGCATTAGAGATATCTGTCAAATTATAAATATCAGCAAAATCGTAAAAACGCAGCCAAGTCCTGGAATATTTTACTGTCCAGCATCCAATGAACAGCTGGACAACATTGAAGCCAGAGACACAAAGTGCAACCAGAACTTAGCTGTGGCTTGGCTGCCGCACGCACCAGCTGCATGCCAATGTCCGTTGCCATATCAACAAAATAAAAAACTTCATTCCGCTGCACAATAAATGCATATTTCTATAAATATATATATTTGTGTGTGTGTGTGTGTGTGTGTGTGTGTGTGTGTGTGTGTGTGTGTGTGTATGTATGTATTTATGCACAGTTGAAAAGTAGCAGCAGCAGCTGGCTAAAGCAGGCCAAAAGCCGATCGGAGTCCCGTTGCCAAGACGACTGCTAACTGACACAGGGCTATGTGCGTATTTGTGTGTGTGTGTGTGTGTGATTGTGGCACTTCCGGTGACAATGTGCCATGGTGCCAAGGGAATGGATACGATGAGTACGACGGCTAGTAAGTGCACAAGCGGGTTGAAGGCTTATGACAGTGCAAAGCACATCTAGAACAAGCCAGCGCTGTCTGGTTGGCATTGATGAGCCGAGGAATACCCTAGACTAGCACTGGCGCTTCAACTGAACTGCGTTTTATACCCTATGGGGAAAGAAACGCTTCCAGTTAAGTTTAAGTGGTATTGTTTGCGAATATCAGGCCGTAAAAATGCAGGAGGAAGAAGCAGAAGAAGTAAATCCTGAGGATATATAATATATGATAATAATAATGATAATAAATGTTTAAAAATAATTATATTCAAATAATAAGTTAACATAAAATATGTAAAGAAATAAAATAAATAATACACATGAAAAAAATAAAATTTATAAAACAAATAAAATAAGTAAAATATGAAAAAATAAAGTTAATGAAATTAATAACAATAATAAATTTAATAAAATATGAAAAAAAAAAAATATGCAACATTAATAAAATAAGTAAAATATGTAAAACAAATAAAAAAAATTAATAAAAATAAAAATAAAAAACTATTTTAAAAAATTAATAATTTTAATAAATTAAATAATTTGAGTAAATGAAATCAAATAATGTATTTTTTTTTTATTATTCATATTTATATATTATAATTATTTATTTTATTGTTTACATTATATGAAACTTTTGAAAATTGTATTTTAAACCTGTCTATTCTCTACTATATGTAATTATTATTATTATTATTATTTTTTTTTCTATTCATAAACTTCACAAAGGTATCAAATAAGGGCAAAAAAAACCCTTTAAATTATAGTATATGTTATAAATATTTATATATTTATATACTTATTTCAGAACCAGTGATTAAATAAATTAGCCTTAAAGTTATACATACATGAAAAAGTAGATAAATATTTGTTTCTACAGCTCCTTCTTTTGAGTCTCTATAGAATCCTGAGGCATGTGGGATTTTAACTGTCTTATACATTATACCCTCTTTACTTGTATTCAATCAGCTTAGACTGAAAATACCAAAAGCCGCTGAAAAACTATGTGCTCGGCTCGCTCGATTCCACATATTTATATGTAGATGTATATGCATATATATGTGTGTATATATATGTGTGTATATATATATATATATGTGTGTGTGTGCGTCTGAAGCTGTAAGCGATTCCAAACAGTTGCCAGTTTGCAATATTTGAAATACATTTTAAAATTGCATTGCGTGGCAAAAGGGACATTCATCTCATTGCTGTCCCTGGCTCGGGCCGTACGCTCGGTCAGCTGGTCCCCCACCCCCTGCGGCTGTCATATGATTTATGGTGAGTGGACATGTGTACTTTAAAGCTCATAAATTTGTCGCTCTGCCATGCAGGACCTGTCGACAGGCTGACACTCGCATCTCTCTGTGCCGCTGTGTCCATTCGAATGACTTACGAATTGTACCCATTGGCTGCCCAAAGTACATAGTAGTATTTCTATGCTATTCCCTTTATTGGCCCAAATACGCGTAATCAGGGAAACTTGAATCGCTCCCCGATGAGGGGGCGCCATATTATGTGATTGGCTCTCGGCCTTACTGCCAGTCATTTGCCTTGACATTAATGATGCGAACCAAAACAAATGCAACAATAAATTCAATTAATTGCATTTTATTTCGATTATGCGCGCCCAGCACCGCCGCACCACCACACCGACGCACCGCCGCCCCGTCATAAATGTCAATTGTGGTCATTGAATGTGGCCCGAGGACGATTGCGCTGAGCAAAGCCAATGCTCGTTCCGACTCTTTCGCATCTAATTTTTGCTCATTAATTTCATGCAACATTTTTATGCATTGTCATAAAACTAATTTTACGATGTCAGCACTCACACGCACACACACTCATGCATATGTCTTGATGTTTGTCTAATTAGATTAGTTTGATGCGCATTTCGCATTCCTTCTCAGCTTTAATTGATCTGCTACACTGTCATATAGACTATCGCTTTCTCTCCTCTCTCTCTCTCTCCCACACTCCTCTTTTATTTCATGCTTGTCAGCTAAAGTTTAGCTGCTGCGAGCCAAATTATAATGACTGTTTAAATTGCATGCAGTAATTGATGTTTTTATTTGCAATTTCCGGACTTCTTAACCCAATTGTCAAATTGATATTCGAGCTATATTGGACAGTGCAGCGCCTGCTTCTTTCACTTCGAATGGGAACAACAGCAGCTGTCAAGTGCAAATACTCTTGGCCACAGGCAGTACGGCAGTCAACTAAGCGCAGTCATGGCTGTCTCTTAAGGGGATGAGCTAAGCAATGCTAGTTGAAGACAGCTGATTACAGTTTGACTAGCTTTGCTAGATGTCATTAAGCTGTTGCTATTTAGTTTAATATACAGTAGTATACCCCACACACTTAATGCTAGCTACGTCACTGGCTGAGCACACACACACACACAGTCATAGAGAAACTGATCTATTGCCGGCAGTGAAGGCAGCAGCAGCTATACAATGGGCTAGAATGGTACGTTATCAGTGCGTATACTTGATTTTTATACGCACACTTAAGCAAATAACTGCAGGCATTATTTCAAAAATTCGAAAATTAAAAGCAAACAACATAGAGCAGAGGTATGCACAGTATGGGATGGGGGCCTGGCAGGTGGCCATAAGAAAATACTCAGAAATTGCCAGCATTGCAAACGACAGATAGAGACGGAGATAGAGAGAGATAGAGAGAGAGAGAGCGAGAGAGAACAGGCAAAAAGACAGTGCTGGAGCGAGAGAAGCGTAAAGTTTTAATGTAAAGTGATGTGAAATGTTTTCTTTGCGAATTTACCTTCAATTTATGCATTTATGAATATGTAAGCACATTCGAGACCAAGCTCTTGGCTGTGTGAGCAGTCAAGTGGTAAACGTGAATACAGAAATAAACTCACACACACACACACGCATAAGCATGCTGATACATACACACACACAAACACACACACACACACAGCACTCTGCAATACATTCATTAACAAAATGCTTTTGGCTAAGAAGTTTTGCCTTTGCCCATTCGCATTTTCACATTTCAGATCTGAGCAGCCAGGCAGCTCTTAAAAAAGAACCATAAATAATTTATTGTTAAATGTTTTTCGTTTCTTGTTTCATGTTTCTCGTTTCTCGTTTTTCGTATTTCGAAATTCGTATTTCGTGGCCCACTCCGAATGTCGCAAATTGCTTATGAAATGCAATCACATAACCTACAGGCAGAGAATTTAATTGAAATTTTTGTTAAACAAGCGTAAACCAGGTGCTTACATGTCTCTGCCATTGGATTATGGCCGGCTGCACTGGAATTGCGAATCAGATTTAATCAATTACGAGACAAGTCAAAACTCGTCACTCGACTGTACGAAACATTTTATCTTTTGCGTTCTGTCCGCACGAAACATTTGGCATAGCAACCCAAGTCTGAGTCGGCCTCACCGATTGCCCTCAAAGTCAATCAACTAAATGTCGACATGGAAAACAATTATCGTGATAGTTTCGGTGACAATTGGAAATGTTCTCACCTGTGCTAGGTGTCGATTATTATTGTCTTTTCTTGTTTTCTTTTTTCTGTCTCTGTTTGCCTCACTCTGCCCTCCGCCTCGCCACGCCTCGACGACGGAAGCAAAACGAATATTTGTGAGTATTGAATTGCGTTTACAATATGTTGTCACGCCTACCTATTATTGATTTATTTAACCCTTGCTTGGTGAGCAATGTACCTCACATAATATATGCTACGCATACATTAACATTTTAAGTAACTGTCAAATGTTGACTTTATTTGTTTACTTTTTTTTTATTTTAACATATTGAATAAGGAAGTGCAGGGTATAATATACCCTATATAATATATGTGCAAATGTTTGAAGCAGCAAAAAACGCCTGGCAGGAGTCATACTCAATATATACACATATATATATATTGTTGATATAGAGCTATACGAACGTTCGTCTATCTATTTAAGATACATAGATCTATAACTGATTTTTTTTATTATCTAACAAGAGACCGAATGCGTATAAACGATAGTGAACTTATCCGATCGAACTCTGAAATAATTGAAAGAAAAATTGTTTCACTATTACTCATCTATATACTAAAAATTTATTTAAATTTTTTTATGTAAATTAAACTCAACTCAAAATTAGGGATATTCCCCGACTTAGTTTGACCTCAGAAATATTATTATTACAATTCTTTTCTTTATTATTATTATTATTATATTATTATTTTTTATTTTACCCCTTGAACATTTGATTTTACCTTATTTTGTAATAAACATCTCAGCTGGCATTTCATTTGCGTCAGCCAATTGATCGCATTTGTTGATAGACAAATGGCACGCTCTAATCAATGCGTTGTTTTCTCTACATTAGCTATCCTAATAAACAAAACAAAATAAAAAACTAGACAAATATCCGTTACGCATCGATTGACATGGGGCACAGGAGGCATGCAACAGTGCCTAATAGTCCTGGGCCACGACATAGAAACACGCTTCGTGTTGGTAAAATTGAAAGAGCATTGCGACAATTGACGAAACAAGTGAAGAGAATAGAGAAGAGGAGTGGGTCATATGGGGCAGACCATTTATTAACCGAATGGGGATAATTTCGATAATAATGCAATAGCAATAATGTTTCATCAGTGTAGTAAATATTTATTATGTGCTACGAAAACAGTTTATAAATTTATGATAGGATTTAAATTCTTTCGCTTATATTCTAATAAAAACTGGTGATAATTTTATGAAGAAATTCCATTTTAGAGCATTTGTTGGTGTAAATCTGATTTGAAATGTGGCTAATATAAAATATTTCGGTTTCAATTTGTTCTGCTTGTATAGGAACAAGTTTCTATAATCTATATGCAATTTTGTATACGCCTCTCGGAACTAAAATACTAAACTATATTGATCTGATGAGCGATTGGAATATTGTTATACTTATATATTATTAATAGTTATTAAAAATGTTGTAAGTCTAAGCGCTCAATAGTCACAATACTGCAAAATACTTTTTTTCAGAGAATATTCCCCACTTCTGCACAGGATATGCAAAGCTCATAAGGATTCTAGTTGCTCTGTAGCTTTGCCTGTGGCAGTGGCAGCTGTTGATGCAGCTTTCTTTCTAAGCTCTTTGTTTATACTTATAGGCGTCTTAGATATTCCCCTTTGGTATGCTTAGCTCTCCCCGGATATACTATGCAGCTTGATGTGTCTTCTGGCCCTTCACTGACTTTTTGTAAAGGCTTACAGCGCTTCACGTTCACCTTCACTTTCACCTTCTACTTTGTACTGTCGCCTGTATTGAGATGCTGACGCCTTTTATAGTCCAGGCACCGACTGTGCTTCTCTCTCTGAAAGCAGCGTGCTCTATGTGTTCGGCTCTTGAGTGGAATCTACCTGCAATGGGATTGATCGTCTGATCGTTTGGCATACTCTCATTGGTCGAAGCATGAGTTGCTACGAGAGCGACTATTGCATGTTAACGAACACAACATCGGCTGACTGTAGTCGGTGGATGACTCAATTAAGAGTATTTCTCACAGCATAACACAATCTAATATGAACAGCTCAATCTTTCATTTAGGCTGTCTCTCACACAAAATTCTGAACAATCAGCTGAATAGGAGTAAAAGAATTTATATAGGTTTTATATGTGTTTTTTTTTTTACTTGTTAGCTTAATTTCTTAAGATATTGATATCAGAGCGCCAAGTATCATTAAGAGAGCTATGAGTAAAAACTCAAATTTGGATAATTTAACTGATTATTATATCATAACTAATAGCTGTTAACTATGCACATATAAATATAAACAAATATACATAGTTACTGATATATAATTACATATACATATACAAGTATATTCTCATACTTCGTATATAGCTATACTTACTTACTCATGATCAATGAGTCTGCATTTTGGCTGTAAACTATGTTGATATGAACGGTTTATGGGAACCTAATCGGCTTAAAACTACAACTGCCATATACTATATGTCTAAAAGCCAAGAGAGGGACTTACTACGAAAACAAGGGCCACATACATAAGTGGCAATAACAATAAAAACCAAAAGTACTTTTACACGCACTTCAAATACAAATAAACCACTCGCCGCGACGAGTGTATGTAAATGTATTGCATATGCGTGTGTGTGTGTGTGCGCGCCTAATAAAGTGCGATTGTGAGCGTGTTTATATGAGTGTGTGTGCTCGCATTTTTGAGTGGACGATAAATAAATTAGAAAGTTGCAAAAGCGAAAAGCGCTGAATTCGCTGCTAGGCAGGAGACAGGAGGCGTGAAGCGGGAGGCGGGAGGCGGGCCAAAGAGTGCGACGCACTGCGACATAATGGCGTCCACTTTGTGTTCTTATGCTTAATTTGCTTAAAAGGGTGCTGCACTACAGTAAGCGACTGCACTGCTGCACACACACACGCACACACACACACACACACACACGTGAACGGGGACACGCACTCACGCACACACAGTTTAACGGGCGCGCCAAACTGTTAAAAGTAGGCGCATTTGAAACGGGAGCAGGAGCAAGAGCAGGAGCCGCAATTGAACTGGGCATAGACATGGACACGCAATGTGAATGTGAGCAGCGCTGTCAGTGAGTCGGCTAAGTGTATTTTACATTTCACGCACAATTTTCCATTTTCCACTGCACGCAATTTACCGCTTAACGCACAAATACAGCATTGCCTCTGCCTTTGCCTTTGCCGGGCTTTGCATGGCGCGCCAATTTAAAAGCCACCTCACCCTCGTCCCTATCCTCGCTTACACCCTCATCCTTGGCCAGGCCAGCAACCACAACCGGCTCATAACACATGCAGAACGGCATGCAGGCGACAGCTTAGCTAACGCTAAGCAAGTCCAAGTCTTGCCCTAGCCCCTACTCATGCTGCTCCTGCTCCTGCTGCTGCTGCTGCTGCTGCTTCTTAGTCGCATATTACATCACTCGCTGTGTGCTTCGACACGCTCTCTTTCCAGCCATGTCACGTTGTTGTTAGTAGTCTCGAAGTGGGCGGGGCCACGCGGCTGTGTTCAAGACATGGGACGCACAATATGTGCGTGGCCAAATAGTTGAAATAGTTTGATGAGCACTTTTCAGCGACTCTGACAGGGGGGCTTGGCCTTTGAGCCCTGAACACTGAACAGCTGAACACTGAATGGAAAGAGTCAACCGCCGCACCCCCTGCATCGTCCCTGGCAAATTTCGACCCTACGCACTGCTCGTTGAATTGTTAATAACATTTTGGGAGTATACGCATTTAAATGAGGCGCACGTACGCGGACGATTTGTCACAAAATAATTTTTACGACTTGACGACTCCATTGCCAGTGACCAAGCCCAATTCTAAAGGAAGTCAAAGGCACCCCACAACCTCGCGCATATAATTTTCATGCTTGATGTTGCTGTTGTTGCTGTTGCTGCTGCTGCTGCTGCTGCTGTCATTGCTGCTGCTGCTGTGTCACCAACTGCGACCATAATGCTTCCAGTTAGCGTCAAACACTTGACAGCCCTTCTGGCGCTGGCCCTTGTCTGGCTGCTGTTTATATCAAAAGCATTTTTCTATAGCAAATCAATTGAAATACTTCAAAACAACATCAACAAATAAGCATTTAATATTTATGTTAACTATAAGCAATTTAACAAAGACCTTTTGGTATATGGAATGAGCTCATGCGATGTCTGAATATGAATAAAAAAATAATTAAATATGAATAGTTACAAGCTGTAAGGTTGGCATCATAGACTCTTGGATTTCTTTTTACTTACTTATTTAGTTTTTTATTTATTTTTTTTTTATTTGTTAATTTCTGTCTAAAAAGATTTAATCATTAACTTAGAATATAATATCATAAGCAGATGTAGTTAGAGATTAAAAAACGTATCAGAATAATTCCATTTTTGCTTGACAAATTTTGTATCAAATTTTGGAGTCTCTCAGGCTTTATAAGCTTTGAAATCAATGCGTTCTTACATGCGGAAAAATTGAAAGACATAAAAACGAAGCTGGAATTCATTTCTGTAAAGTGTATAAAAATGGCGCAGAGTATTTGTGGACAAGTTCAAGATAGAAATATTTTTAATAATTCTGGGATATACATTATCTTAAGTTACTATCTGCTATAGAAGAAAATTGACAAAAATAATTACATAACAAAATCACTGTATGCCCATATAAAATAAATATGATTCAAAGCGACTTCAGTCTGCACGTGAGCATTTTTTTTAATACCGATATATAAATATTTAAATAAATACATATTTATCTATTTTCTATAAATTAATTTATAAAAGAGTTACGGAAAGTGATATTGTGGGACTGCTATTTTTTTTTTTTTTCCCCGTTATGTTCTGGTTGGGTTTTGCAAAACAGTTAGTAGATAATTATTGGCCGCTTCTCTGCTTCCGTAAGCCCCGGGCTTCTATTCACGATTGGGCGATTGTCATTAGAAGAAGAAAGAAACTTAGAGTCGGTCTCTCTCTTCACAGTAGATCGGCTGTTTAACGACTTCACGATTGGCCCCAAGCTTTTCTTTGTGTTTTGTTCTCCCATGGTTGTTCCCAGACCGTTTGCATTGGTATGTATGCGAGAGTTGTGCTCGTACTCAATTGGCATGTGAAATGCATTGATTATTCGTGTGATCACTCTCACTGATTGCACGAAGGCCAATCGTATCTCTCTCCGAATGATGTTCGTGAATAGAACGCCACACGAATAGTTCAGCCCAACTCAAGCCCAGCTCAACAGCAAGCAGAAACGAAACGAAACGAAGTCTTTGTGAGAGCGAGAGCGAGAGAG